GCAAAACTGCACTACTGCACTAGCTCTCACTTGGTCCATGGCATTATTAAAATTCAGAGAAATAATGGGATCCACTCATACTGGAAACACTTCTGCCAACAATTCAGAAGATTTTAAATATATATTATATATATATATATATATATTATATCTATCTATCTATATATATTTAAATATATATATTTTAAAATTCCAATAATTGATGTATCTAAACTTACTATTGAGAGGACAACACGAGCAGATCAGAATGTTTCTTTACCAGTATTCTAAGGAATGGTCAGAATCCATTACAAATAGATTAAGGATCAGGTTAAGCCTCACCCCTGTGCCTTACACATGGTCTAGCATCAAGGTTGTTGCTGCCAGTTTAGTTTCTCCAGTAAAAATTAGAGGAAGGAGTTTTATTCTCAAATGTCAGAAAAATAATAATTTATTATTTTGGTAAATTGACAGGTCACTAAGTATCAAATTCTTCTAGGCACTATCAGGCCATTCTTTGTTAATCAATACTGCACATTTCTTACTAGTCTTATCATTGGAGTACATTGTTCCAGAAATTTTAGCAGCATATTGAGGCCTGAGTCTGCTTCCAGATAAGCCTGGCTGGCTTAATTTTTTGTCTTTTTCTTTTCAAGATAAGTCCTGTAGTGCAGGGGCCACCAAAACGACATTTTATTCCTGATACACCTATCAATTCTAGCTTTCTATTCCTGATACACCTGTCAATTCTAGCTTTGCCATATCCTTGAATGCAATTCAGCATTCAGCTGCTCAGCTATGGGCAGTCTCCAGGAGGGACTGACTCTCTCTGTTCCTTTTTCTGATGTTCTTTCCTGTGCACACACGAGGTAACCTCACCAACAGCTCCTTTCATTGCTGCTAATTCCCTGCTATGATTTCACATCCAACACTCCAACTGCAAGGGGGAATTTTAGCTCAGACAGCAACAGTTTCAGAGCAGCTTGGTAGGTGTGTGAGACAAACTCTTTGTAACACATGTCAAGGAATATGGATTCAACATCCAGGAATATTCTGAAACTAGTCAGCTGCGGATAAAATCCTGAAATTAATTTTCCCTGGGAAATCTTAACTCCTCGGGAAAAACTAGTTTTCTGTTCTTCACAAAAGTGAAGTTCAAACAACTTAAATAAGCATTTTCAGATAGTTCCAGTGTAGATCACTGAGGATTTTAAATGCAAGCAGGCTCGTACTGTCTGTCAGGAGAACTTTTCCTCCCCCCCTGAAGTCCATTTTTCCTCTGTCTGCTGTTAAGTTACTATTATCTTCCATTCTTTGTAATAATGGGCTTAAGATCAAGTGAGACTGGAAATGGAAAGAACAGTGAAAGATGACAGACTTGAAGGGGCTTTATTGGGACTTTGGGTTGCTCCTGAGGTCAGAATCAGTAAGTATAATTAGATTCCTGGCATTTACAACAAATGTAAAGCAACTCAGAGCTCCCCTTTGTGTGCCTGTAATTAAACATGCACTTTTACTGCCCTCTGCAGTGCTCCAAAGCATCTTTGATTCCAGCACATGAAAGTGGAATGAAAGAGCAGGCCCAAATCTTCATCTCTATATGGCACTCATATTTCTGAAAACAAAGTATTTCTCAGCAGAAATGGAACAGCCCCTTTCTAAAGAAACACAAAAGGGAACGTTGTTTTTGCTAATAATTAGAGGCACTCCTGTAGCTCCCAGAAACTTTCTCAATACACTTGGACAGACAGAAAGGTCCCAACACAGACAGCTGGGCCCCACTCTAACCCACAAAACAAGTTCTAAATTTCCACACAGAGTGGAAATGAATCAGCATTTTTTGGATAAATTACTTTCCTCTCATGCTTGAACACAATCCAAGAGGTAAGTGACAAGCTCAGAGTGAACAGGACTGGTAATCAAAAAATACAGTGGGGGCCAGCAGTGGCAGTTGCTAAATCTTGGTTCCTTGCATGTTTTGCATTTAGGTATGACCCCAATGCCACAAAACTAAACAGTGCACAACTGGAGTAAATTCTGCTCAGCATTATCACTTTCTCTAACTAAAGGGTAGATATTACATTCTAACTACACCGTTTTCCTTGAAAGTGAAATGGATTTTTGACACTTCACAAAGTAACTTCAATCTCTTAACTATTTATATAATATTTTGGCAAATTTATCCCTACTTGTCAGGAAGCACTCAAACTTAGTATTCAACAGCTAGCAACCAATCTTCTCACGTTATGAGAAACCATACAGAAGAAAATAGAAGAGCAAGAACTTCTAGTAAGGTCAAAATTCTTTGAAAAGGGGTCTTTTACTAGCCCAGTTTTGATGAAGTGCCTGATCCCCCTGGTTTCCATACAAATCCATCCTCAGGTATATGCAGTTACTCTTATTTACACTAGGAACACAATAAAACAGATTTCCTGAAAATAACTCCAGTAAATACCTGCACGAATAGAAGTTGTTTGAATGGTATTTTGAACTTAAAAAAAATGGATACATGGAAGAAAGCTGGTTTTAGCTTGGCTTCCTTAGAGCATTAAACTGTTGTACTGGGAAGTCCTTCCCAAAATCTCTGTCTTGTCGCTTGTAATTTTTGAACTGGCTGTCCAGGTACTGAACAGAAAGGTAAATATGTTCCCTTATGGTTTATGTACCAAGAGCTGAGTGATGAAGGAAGGCCCAGTTAATGCCCAAGGAAGGACGAGCTGGGGCAGCTCAGCTCTTCAATGCCACCCTCCCCACGCTCGAGCACCAATGGCCCAGCCCAAACAGATGGAGTTTAAACTGGCCACAGCCAGGGCTGCTCTCAGCCAGGCACGCCACAAGAGGGGACAGGCCTTGGCGTGAAGGGAGTAAGAGAAACACAAACCAGAAGGCACAGCTCTATAAAAAGCAGGGTTGACAGGTTCTGCTGCCTACAGAACAACCTGCTCGGTTTTATTTTTAGAGGAATTTAACCTAATAAGGCTAAAATTTGACAGCAGTACTTGCTTGTTCTCCATCTGAAGCAAACTTCACGGCATGCAACTATGCACAACTGAACATATGGGCATTGTTTTTCCATAAGATTCCTCTATTACCGGATACTGCCCTAAATGGGTGGGTTAGCCCACATTTAACCACTAGAGGGCTTAATTCTACTGCAAAAACTCTGGGGTTTTTTTCAATTTGGTGCTCAGGACCTTTGGAAAAACACCCAAACTGAGTGTTCTCTTTAAATACCAACCATAAAAACTAAGAGATCTAAGTAATGAGACAAAAGGCAATTGTTGTGGTGAAGATATCGCTGTGGGTGGCCAGCTCCTTCAGGACAAAGTAACAAATCTGAGCCTGATTCACAAACAGCTACTGAACACAGACCAGCTACACTTCTAGTGTGGATCAAACCCACCTGGTTCTGGGGTGAGTGTGCTGCACAGAGCTGAAAGCTGAACAGCACCTCAGATTGCTTTTAATGAGAGCAACAGAATTAAGATATCTGTAAGCAAGCTGGAGCACCCCACAGGAAAACAAGGGATAAACTAGCCAAAAACCCCCTAAAAACAGTGACATAGAATGTTACAGTCTGAAGCAGAAGTGACAGAGCACATTGAAAGGTGACAGAACAGAGCAGAGATGGAACAGAGCGGGCACAGTGAGGGGCAGCACCCACCTCAGCAGGGCAGGGTCACGTACAGGAGGGTCATTTCCCAAGGCCTGTGCTAGGAACCTTGTCTGAGTAGTTCAGGTTAGCTGGACTAATCTCAAATTATACACCACATTATGGACTAACCCCTGAGAAGTTACTCTGCAGAAATTTGAAAGCACCTCAAGCCATTTGCCAAAGGAGAATGATTTGTTGTGTGCTCCATTATAACAGAGAAGTGCATCCCAGGTGTTTGCCTGAGCCCTGCCCAGGGTTTGGTGTTCTTCACAAGGTTTTCCCCACATTCCAGCCCAGAGCTGGATGCAGCACTCAAGGAGGGGTCTCACAAGGGGCAGGGTCCCCTCCCTTGCCCTGGTGGCCATGCTGCTCTTGGTGCAGTCCAGGACACAGCTGCCTTTCTGAGCTGTGAGTGCCCATGGCTGAGTCACTTCAAGCTTCTCATCCACCCACCAACATCCCCAGGTCCTTCCCCTCAGGGCTGCTCCCCATCTGCTCATCCCCCAGCCTGCATCCATGCTCCAGAGATTGTCCCAACCCATGTCCTTCCTTATTTCAAAAGCAGGTGTAAGTAACCCTACCCCTCAGAAGCCTCTAAACACTCTGAATATCCCACTGATCCAACCCGTGTGGGTAGCTACAGTAGGACAGAAAAACTTCTTTTAAATAAACCAATTCTAGTGGCAGTTCTGACACTCAGCTACAGACTGACACACTGGAAATACTTAAGAACAGCCAGGAACAGTGTGGCCAGAAAATGTGACATGAGAAAAGCAAATTGGGAAGGACAGAGGGTGCAGAGTGCAGGTAGAAGGCAACTGCCATTTTGTTGCCTTCTCTGGAAAAAATACATGTTAGGAAGGCATCAGAGCTGAGCACCAACCTTATCCCAATGCCACTATAGTGGCAAGAGTAGAAACTCTTGAAGTTTCGCTGATTTCAAAAGTGCCTAACAAATCAGACAATAATAGTAAGCAATATTACTAGCTAAGATACTCCCTTGAGTTGGTGAGTTTAAGGGGTGTAGCATCAACACCCAGAAATTCCATTTTAAGAGGTAAAACCAGGTGAGGTGACTGTAAAAAGCTGTTCTCTAAGTGAAGAGGATTGAAGTGTTCACACAACTCTTCTAGCAGTTTTTCCTAGAGAACAGAACTTGGCAACTACTAAACATCTACTAAACCAAATTGTCTCAAATTCACTCTGGTGGCCATGTCAATAGATTCTAAGGTCTCCTCAAAGTCAGAGGATGGTGCTAACACAGATTCACCCTGGCTCAGTACCAATATCAGACACTTGGCTTTCAGCATTTCCCTGCATTTCGTTATGCTCAGAGCACTGCTAGCAGGAAATGAAGAGTCAGATGTAAAAGTAAAGGCAGTTCTGTTTATTTTCCAGCAACATCCCACGCAAAAGCAATAAAAACACGAACTGCTCTCAGCAGAAAATCTGTACAGTTGGTAACATTTACAACAGTTTTACATTTAAAACCAGAAAACTGAAAGAATCAAGCACTTTCCCTAGACATTGTTTTCTTGACTGCATGAATAAATGACTCATGACTATTTACAAATTTCAAGTTAAGGCTACTACTTCTAAAAAAACCCCAACATTATTGCATAGACTTTGCCATGTTGACTTTCAATTTCTTGATGGTATTAAACTTCCAATTGTTTCTGAAAAATTTTTGCAAAAAGTGGTTTTTTAAGGTAAGGTAGTTAAACTTACAGTGACTGCAGTAGATGGGCTTACTCGTACTAATCAGCCACATGCACAGCACCACGTGCCTTACTCCAGGTCAGGGGTGTTACAAGAGCCATTTGTAAAAACAAGGAAACATAAAAAAACCACCCCAACTTGGCTCTTGATCTGCAGGTGGACAACTAAAATCATGTTCAGAGTAGGGGAGGGAGTGGGGGAAATTGATAAGATCTTGCTGTGCTATTTATAATTACTAGAGGATAGCACTGCCATTGGCTAGTTTTACTATTGAGAAGTTTTATAAAAAAATCTGATATACATAAATTAAAAGTTAACAAGAAGTCACACAACTTAATTGCAATTTTACATAAGTTTGGTCTGGAGAATACCTAGACCAATCACAGCTTTGAGAACAGTCTTCAACTTTTCTTAAGCTTTCTTACTATGAACAGTTTATGGATCAAGCTAACCTCTCAAATTTAAGAGAAACTTTCCCTAAAACAGCTTGCACAGGACTATTTAACTCACAGTATCAAATTCTTTCAGTGGCTCACTCAAACACACTTCCAAATCAAATTCTCCTTCTGCTTGATAGTCAACATGTCTAACTTTGGTGGGAGTGCCAGAACAGGTATCCTGCAAGGGAAAGGCAATTCATAATTACTAGTTAAGTAGAGGTTATTAGTACAGGTAATTCAATTAGCTTCTGTAATTCATTTAGACCACCCTAAAACAAAGGCTTACAAATTCTTTAAAGGCCATAAAAACTCAATGTTAGTCTTAATATTAAAGAGATGTAGGCAGAAGCCCATCCAACCACATTTGAAAATACCTTGCAAGTGTTCCAAGGGCCTATACATGCAAACATTAAAACATTATAGAGATTTAATATTTGAAAAATAAATCCAGTAAGAAAAACATTCCTAGATCTTTAATGCTCAGCTGTACCAAGTGCTTTCTGGACATAAAAGAAGCCTACTTCTGTGTGACAAGGAAATTCCACCCTATTTTAATACTAGATATTGCAATCTAAAGTAGTATTTCAATTGTACATTACAGTTCATAACTGATTTGCTTCCAACAAATTAATTTTCTTTTGAAGGCTATGAAAAAATGAGATATTTTTAATTCGAGATGATTTAAGTTCTAATTCTCTAAACCCAAGACTACAGACAGATAATGGCTATAGCTGGAAAATACCTGAGTTTCAAAATTGCTCAGCTGTATAAACAGTCCCTAAACAAAGCAGGTGATGGGATCTGTGAGGTATCAGGCTGCTCTGGATTTAATTCTAAGCAATGAACCAATTATTAAAAAATAGTTATGCAAAGGACAGATATGCTTACATCATTATCTTGACAGCTCGTTTGAGACTCAGTAGAATTGCTTCCAACAGATTCTGTCTCCATCTCACCAAGGTCAACAGGACAACTGTAAAATCATTTAGAAGAATACAGCATAATTGATTTTTTAGTGTTAAGATGAACTTTGTTGTGCAGTTCTGAAAAAAAAAATGACCAGAGGAGGAGAAAGAGACCTACAGAGATCACAGGGACAGTGGTGGCAAACTGGGGAGACAAACAGAACTGCAGGACAGCTCAGTACTGCCAAAATGGCCAAGGACTGAATTAAGTCTTGAGATTGAATACTGCAACTTGTCAAAGACAAAAACCCAGTGCTCAAGAAATGCCCCAATGCAAATGTTACAGGAGAGGAATGAATTTTTTTTTTTCAGTTTTGTAAAGATTTAATATCCATTATACACAGCATCTGAAGGTAGCATTTCAACACCAAAGCACACAGCAGGGTTCTGGCTGAAGGACCAACGCCCCTCACACTGACAGAAAGTTAAAGGAAGCTAAAAGGAAGCTTTTCTTCTACATCCTGTTGCTCTGCAGTAGTTTTAAAGTCAGCATCCCATTAAGGAAAAACACTACTTTATTAACACAAAGCTGCCTGCTGAGGAATTAAGTTCCATCTTTGTCCCTTGCATTCGCTACTGCCAGTTTTATGTCATGATGCTGATCAGCTGTATTGCTTTCTACAGAGGAAAACAACTATGGCATCACTGTGCATCTTCTAGAGCTTGGGCTGTGAACACTTGTGGCCATGCTTTGAGCTTGGGATGAGCTGACAATTCTCCCTCTCTGGAGAAGAAACGTTTTATACCACTGTTCTTGAACTAGCAAGTGAGAAGAGTGAGGCAGGTTCCTGTACAGTGGATTGTTCCAAGCTCAATATTCACACCTGCCATTAGTGAGAACTCTCCAGCACTGCTCCTACCAGATAATCTGAACACTGCTCTGAAAGAATTGGCTCCTGCTGATGGTGTGATTATTTTACAGAGCAGCACAGAACTGGCTCTGCTTTCACCATTAAAAATTGAGAGATATGTGTATATGCACTGGGCAAGGACCAGAGAGCTGCTGGATATTTTGACTGAGAAGGAACTCAACACCACTAAGTGTGGATAAATAATTAGGAAAAACATCCAGCACTCACTGACTTGTCTCAAGAAGAACTATGCTGGTGTTTACTTCTTAAACAGGAGACTTCATGTCATAATTTCTATAACAGCATCCTGAACACTCTGTGTACATACATTTCCTGCAGATCACATCCTCCTTCAGTTGGAGGATCCCAGGAATGCAGTGCAACCTTCCACAGTTTGATCTGCTGGTCCCACGACCTTCGGCTGTACTTCTTGAATTTGTTTGGAGTTCTGGGATGAACTCCTGGGATACGATGGCATCTGTTCAGATATCAGACATGAAAAATTATCAGTGCTTTATTCACACATACATAACATACCTTTACATGTTAGCTGATTTATTATTTATGAGAAAAGACCAATGTGCAATTCCAGCACTCAAGCAAAGGTTTGCCAGCTCCATGCAAGCTTCTTAGTTTTTCTGACTCCAAGTCAAATGAAATAATAATAATAAAGAATTATCATTCATAGGTTTGAAAAATTAATTTCAAACTCAACAGCAACTGTAGCCCATTTTGTCTTGTAGTTAACTCATGAAAAAACTGACTGCAAAAAAGTAGTTTCATTTCCTCTCATTGACAAGCACATCCAAAAGAACTTTCATTTCCATTTCAGCAGCATGAGGTATTTCTTATATACTAACTCATTAAAATCAAACCTTAAACCACACCTCAATTAACTGTGTGATCTAACAGTTCAAAAATGTCTTAAAAGTTTAATTTGTAGATGCCTTCTATTTAAATGTGTATTGGATGCCAATTTAGTACATTAATGTGCTTATAAAGAACAGGTATGACTTGCAGGTGGACATTTAGTTTCTAGAAAGTCAAGCAGCTTACCTAGGAACTTCTTTAATGTATCTATCATATGCAATTGTGTTTTTTCCATAGTTTATCTGTTTTTGTCTTCTCATCAAAACCACCTCATCTGTCTCGAGTTCTACTGCCACCGTGGACTCCTTTGAATCAGAACTGAAGGAAAAAACATTGTAGGTTTGGGACTGCTAGAAAACCAGTGACACTCAAACAAACCCACTTGTAAAAGACTATAAATAAACATGTTAAAACTTCCCAAACAAATGCTCAGAGTGTTACTAAACCATGGTGTTGGAACAGACTTGAGATGAACTATTTTAAACTGTGTGTTTTAAGAAACAACATTGTACAATCAAAATTCTATTTTCAAGATTTTCCTCAGTGAAGCCAGAAGTTTAACCTACCTTCCTGAGGAGGACTTCCTTTCTCTTGAAAATTCATTTATCAGGAGTTTTCTTCTGTGTCTGTAAGAATTCAAATAATTTTAAAGAAATTATATACACAAAAAGGAACATGAAGGCTGCACTGTCACAGCTCACAGTTGAACTAACTTTTCAGAAAAGCAGCTCTGCAAAGACCTTTCTGTTATGAAATGGATATTTCAGTTTTCCCTTAAAAACCAATAAAAATACAAGGATTTTCTTTTCCTGACTATTTTTCCCTAAAGCAACTTCTTATAGCAATGATACAAAAAAACCCAGTGATTAGTGAGAGGGTATTTTAAGTATTTTAATCTACGAGATTCAGGAAAAGCTTCTTCCAAAAGGGAGATATTTAGGGATACACATCCAATCTCCAAGAGTATCCCATGACATTCCTGCAGCACTGAACCCAAAGCTGATCTAAAAGCAGCAGACAAGAGGCTAAGGTTGGCCTGATTTTACTACAATGGTGAAGTTAAAAATACAAGCTGAAACAGATTCTACAAGATAACTTCCATTTCTCTTCCTTTTACCACTTTATCTTAAACACCCAGGGGTACCTTGCAATTTCTTTGTGAACATTGGTCCTCATTTCATCTTCTTCCACTGCAGTTCCCCAGTCTAAACACCTGGGAAGGGGTCCAGGACCTTCTGGTGTTGTAAAACTAGAAAGAAAAAAAAAAAAATAAAAATTAAGGCTCTGTGTTAAAAGTTTGGGTTATTGTATTTACCACTCACAGCTTGATCCCTTAAACATGATTAATTACAATACTCAAAATGGCTGTGAAAATCTGGTGCTTTATTAAAATTTGACCACTGTAAAATTAAGCATCAGTTCTGACTTCCACCTTGAGGTTGTGTGGTTTGTGTTGGGTTTTCTTCAAATTGATGTAGGTGTCTACAGAAACATATCACTGTAGCCTGATAACCCAGCCCATGCTTTCAGTAACTTCCAGCTCGTGCTCTTCAGAAAATGGCACATGAAATACCAACTTTATTCATTTACTCACTTGGTTTCACTCCACTAAATGACCCAGCAATTATTTATACTTTGATGACTGCAGACTCATTAGCTTTATAAGAAATAAAAGCCGGAGCACAGAATTAAGTTGCAAAGCTAATTAATTAAAATTACATGATAGCACCAGGAGTTGCTCCATCTAAGTACATGCCTGGTAGAGAAGGCAAAGGCACAAAAGCATCCTATTTTAGCTCGGAAAGGGAGATTTGCTGTGACTTTGCAAACTGGTTTAACAACTTTATTGCAGGCCATTAGCATCACAAGCAGGTTCAGACTCTTGTGGGGAATAAGCCCATATCCCTTCCCAACCATCTGCTGCTGCCTGCATTCAGGTTATTCAGTGTTTCCCCTGCCTGTCTTCCTGATGACCAATTTCCCCTAAGTAAAACTCAAAACTGTATCCTACAGAGCAGAGCTTTTTCAGCATATCTGGAAATGCTCTTGAGATCTCCCAGGATTTTGTGCAAATGTCCCCTGGAATCAGGGAATCAGATCCATCTGCACTAAAACCAGCTCCAACTCCCTCCTTGCTCCTAAATTGGTTTGCACAACTTTGAGCAGTTTGTTAAATTCAAACGAAAAGTTATTTTTTGATGAAACCCAGTTACCAACTTGGCAAAATTAAAAATCCATAGAAAACAGTACAGGTCCCTCTGCACAGATATGTTCAAGCTCCAAGGATCGTTAACTTTTGCTTATACCAATTTCTAGATTTGCAGAGAATACAGGCCATGTTTTTCAGAGCTCAATCCAAACTGAAACCAGGAAGTCTGTGGGCACAATTCAATACTGGGAGACACACAGAAGTGTTGCTTATTTACCTTGAAACTATCTGTAAAGTTCCATCCTTGTACTGCTGTTCAACTATGCTTCCTGGATTTAGTTTAAGCTACTCTGGATAATGTAACCTGAGCCACTGACCAACGTGTTCCTGCTTATTGTCAGCGAAGGAAAATGGGTGGGCACAACCTACCCCTGTTCAAGAAACCTTGATTCAATCAACTGGGATGAGGGGACAACTCCCATCCACAGATCAAAGTGATTAAAGAGATCGTGGCATGAATAGCTCAGACTGAAAATGTGGTATAAAATAAGATACTCAAGTCTGACAAACATGGAAGGCAGAGTTATGGGGTGATCTCAAAACTGGATCCCCCCACAAATGTGCTGAAATAGAACACAACTTCTCTGTACTCCCTTCAGAAACAGAAAATAGATGATTTCTAAAACTGAATTTTTGTCATTTACTTCAATTTTACCACAACTGTTTCTACAGCCTGTATTTACAAACATAATGAGCCTGTACAGTATTAGCCCTCGATAAATGATCAAGGACATATTTCAAGAGGTAAGAATGAAAAACGCTGACTCCTAAGAACTGACTCCAAGATAAGAGCACTGCACTCAATCCTTTTCCCTCCTTTAGGACCAGCTATTTGTGGCTGATGAGCAGGCAGGGCTAGGAAAGCTGAGCAGACGGGTCAGTGTAACAGCTGCGGGCGAACAAAAGAGCAGGAAGCCGCTGCCATTGCCGCCATGCTCACCTGTCCAGCCGGCTGTCCTCAGGCCTGGCCTTGTTCTCCTCAAACACGGAGGACTCGGGCTCGTTCTGCCTCCGCCGCTTCCCATCGGCGCCGCGTTTCCGCGCCTGGGCCCAGCGCGGGGGGTGCTGCGGGCTGGGGACAGACACAGCGAACACGAGAACCCGGCTGGGTGTCAGGGCTTCAGCCTCCTTCGGACACGGCGCTTATTCACCCGTTCCACTCCCACCGAACGCAGGGAGGCGACGCCACTCGCTGCGGGCACCCTGAGGGGGCTCTGCGGGCCCTCTGAGGGGGCTCTGCCCCCCCCACCCCCTCAGAGAGCTCCGCCGCGGGACGGCGGGAGCGAGGGCCGGGGAGCTCAGGGGGAGCGAGGCCCGGCGCCGCCACACCCGCTTCAGCCCGGCGGCCATACCTGCTCTTGGTGCTGCCGTGCGGGCTCCTGTGGCGGAAGGACATGGCGCAGGGAATCCTCGGGAGGGAGGGCTGGAGGCAGAGCCGGCGGGGAGCTGAGGAGGCCGGAGGAGGAAGGAGAGCCGGGCGGTGAGGCAGAGCCGAGGAAGCGCTGCTGCCTTCCCGCTCAGCCCCTTCGCATCTCCCGCCGGCGCTGAGCGACAGGCCCGCTCCGCCTACCCACGGGGCGCCTCCACGGGGACAGGTGCGGAGCGGGGGGGAGAGCGGGAAGGCGCAGCGGCCGCCCCGCGCCCTCAGACGCTCACACACATACCCCACCCCCTCGCCAGAGTAATGGCTCAGCCCGCTCCGCCCGGCCCCGCCCCCGGGGCGTGTTGGCGGGAGAATCGAGCGCGGCGCGCGCGGTTTTGGCGCGCTGGGGCGGCGGGACTCCCGTGAAACAACAGGGAAAAACCCAGCCCAAACAAAAAGGAAAATAGAAATTCCCGCGATTTAAATATGAAGGATGACGGTCCGCGGTGTGAAAAATGCGTATTTTATGACTGGCTTTTCGCAAATATAAAAATGACTATTATATGTGTGATGTTACAAAGTTATGCTGTATTAATTTTCTTAAGTAGTGTGTTAAATATAGTTTTAGGTTATAACATAATGTTAAAATAGAAACTCTGCTATGTAAGATACTTTTTTTAAAGAGAGGACTCACACAGAGATAGCAGCCACAGGACACCTAAATCTTTCAGAGAAAAAGAATTTATTGCTCTCTAATCAGCAAAAACTAATTTCTTCCTGCCTCGCTCAGGTGAAGACGCCGTCAGGATTAAGAGGAAGAAGCTGACACTGACCAGACAGAATCCTTTGTTTGAATTAAATTCATGCAGCATGTATGAGGTGTATGAATATGCAACAGGTTATTGTTTTTAAGGGTTAATCCTCTGTTAACGTGGGTCCTTTTTTGGGCTTATTTTGCCCAGAAAGAGGTACCCAGACTTTCTGTAACTCTTTGTTTTTACTGTCTCGTATTGTCCTAAATCCTTATTGTCCAAATTCAGTTATCAATAGTGAAGTTAGCGGGTATCAACATGAGGTGGTTGGTTCGTGGACCTTTCAGGGGTTTTTACTTGCACAGTGAGATCCCATTGGTCCTGCTATTGGGCATACACTCACAGTTTAGAACAGTAATTTAGAAACAACCTGGAGGACTCCAGCAGAACACAAGCAGCTTTACACAATAATACATTTACAGCCTGAAGACTGGTGGGACACTTCAGAGAGATGGTTTTCTTCTGGCCTTACAATGGCAGGATTACGAAGGCTGAAAAAGCCTTACAGTAACAGTTTCATTAAGGTTGGAAGAGCCCTCTAAGATGACCAAGTACAACCATTATTAACAAGGCACTGCTAAGTCCATTGCTAAACCAAGTCCCCAAGTACCACATCTGGTAAAACAGATGGCAGAAGCAGCAAACAAAAATTTGTTTGGTGGGTTTTCTAATCAGCTTAAAACACTAAAGCAACTATCAAAAGTGCCGCAATGGTTTTGGAGAAACCTTCTGAGCACACAATAACAGGTGGTGTTTGGTTTTGATTTTGATTTTTTTAAAATAAACTTCAGCCTTGCTATGCATGAAGATATTTACTTTGAAAATTCCATTCCTGTTGCCCGGCCTTACTATAGTAAATTTTCTACAAACTCACAGATCTGTGAGGCATCTTCACTGAACATCCACATTCCTGCAGAAAAGTCTACTCTGCTGGCACCCCTCCTTTCCCACACACTACAATGGAAAACAGAACTGTGCTCTTGCACCAAGGTCATGCTTGAAGTACAGCAGAGGTTCAAAACAGGCACAAACTCACTCCCCTCCCTTCAGCTTGGCTCTGACAAAAGCTAGACCAGCACGTTTACCTGAACACACCCAAGCAAGGCAGACAGAGGACAGCTACAGCCTGGAAGCCACACTGTACTTTTGGCACAACATAATCTACAAATTAAATTCAGTTTATCCAGCAGAACTATCTGCTGGGACACAGCTCTGGGATTACAGCTGCACTGCATCTTTCTGTCCTTGTCAGCAACAAAAATCCTTCAGAAAAGCAGTGGGAATTTAAGGGGAGGAGATGATAGGAGATATCCTCAGCCGTGACCTCAAAGGAGTTTTAAATACAAAGTAAAGTACACACAACAGTTCTGGCATTTCAGAACTGGCAGTGAAGGATGGTTTCCACAAACACGGATAATGTATCATCTATAAGGAGATTCTCCCAGTGGAAGCATGCCAACAGAAGATACTTGTCACTGCTAGGGAGAAACTGAAACCTGTCTGTTGAAGTTCAGGGTATATTTTGGTTTAATTATAAACTGAGCACAGATTTATGCAGGGGAGATTTAATTAAGTTGGGTAAAATTAAAGGAAAAACTGGGGGTGGAGTGCCAGACTTCTGCTTCACTTAGCTCAGTTGCAAGCTCTGTGTCAGACAGCCTTGGGTAGGTAAACAAGTGCATGGCCAGGCTGCATTCCAGTTTTGAGTGCTCTATTTAGACTAATGAGGTTACTAATTAGAACACAGGATGATTCTACATCCACTGGCAGCACTGCATGAAATGACTTTAGCAGACCTCAAACTTCATCTGCTGTTTCATTCCTTCCCTTGTGCTACCACAGCTTGTTCAAGCACACAGAATCTGGGTGAGGGAATAAATCTGCCCAAAATTTAACTGCCGTAGGCAGACTGGTTATGCTATGCCTAGTCTAATATCTTCAACCAAGAAATACAAAAATCTTTTAAGGACTGCTGAATTGCAAAATCCTATGGATGTGTCCCTAAATCCACTGCAGGCCCTGTCCATCACAGGCAAAAGCTTAAGGGCTCTTAATACTCATAAAATACCTCAGATGAGTTTAAGTATTTCTCAACAGCCCATTACTCTCACCTAGCAGTTCCATCTTCTCCAGCAGGACCCCTTTCCATGGCAGAATGGTGCTGGGACTTCAGCTGCTCCCACACACTAAGTTAAATGCCTTAAAACTGAGGGGCTGGACAAAACCAGAATTGTAAACTGCCTTCAAGAGTCTGATTTTAATCTCTGAAGACTCCTCTTTTCCACTTTTAGCAAGGCCTAAAAATCCAAAATCACTACCCAAACCAAGTAAATACCCTAGAACAAACAAGAAAGGACGACTGAACCCACATATTCCTTTTATAATCAAACTGACAACACAACTGCAAAAGCAGACTAACAACGATGTTTGAAGTTCAAGTCTTTAATTCTTCTGCATAAAGGCAAACTGCCAAAAATGTAACACATTCCCTTATTTACAATCATCATAAATCACAAGGAAACATGCACACTGGAACAACAAGGTTCTAAATATTACCTCTTAGAAAAGTGCTGTACAGATGTGTCCCTTGTACACACACGTGCTCTGTGGTGTGTGACTGATACACCCTTGTGTTGGGAAAAATGCCTAAGCATGCCTGGAAATCACATTTTGGGAGCGTGAGTAGTTTCTGAGGAAGCAGCTTACTTCCAAATCAGTAGCACAATGGGCTCTAGGCCCTGGGTACTGCCAGCCCCATAGCAAGGGAAAGCAAACCCAAACTCCTGCAGAGAAACAACCCCCAGCTCCAGCAGCCACTGGTGTCCCAGTACACGCTACACAAGGACTGTGCGACTCTTGTAACTGGCACGTGGCTTTAGTCCTAAGCACTGTAGCCACAGCTCTCACTTCAAACTTCTGCACACAGTGCTAGCAGAATAGAAAAAGGAGAGTCTATCCCAACACCATCACAACCCTTAGCCTGGACAAGAGCAGCTCCACACCTGCAAATACTGCTATTTATCCCCAATAGTTGTGTGAACAACAGGCACTGAATGCATCCTCTCCTACTTTTTAACTGTAGACTGGCTCTTTGGGTCAGGCTGCAACACACATAAAAGCAAAATCCAGGTATTTCAGCTGTGCTGCTGTTCTAACAGTCACTCAGCCCCTGCAAGAAACGGATCTGATTTTGATAAACCATCTACCTTTCCCTTCTCTTCTCTCACCTGATTTAGGCAAATGCCAATTTAATACATCTCAGAGAACAATAAATATGCCAAATGAGTGATCACCCAATCCAAAAGTTTTGAACGGCTTGTCTTTAGTGGCTGGAGAAGGCTGAAATGATCTACATTCTTTTGAAGCAGTTCTTCAGGCTGGATGTCCAGTGCTGGTCCAGGGGAGCAGAGGAGGTTCCTTGGTTGGAGGGGTTCTTTTTTCAGTCTGACTTGACACTGGACCAATTCTCTGGTGAAGCATCAGCACACTCTGAGGAACAAGACCTCCAGAGGGAATGGCAGGATCCTTCACCTGAAGCAGCCTTTGAAATCTAATGCACATTATATTATGTGTCACCTGCCAGTGCAGGCACAGCAGGAATGTTCTCACAAAAGCTTTAAGGAACATCCACTGTCATTGCAGCACAGGTTTCATGAAATCTGGAGTTTTACACTTGAGGCACAGCTTGCAGAAAACAATCTATCCTTATAAAGGTCTGGAGAAACCTAAACAAAAAAGCAGGTAACAGCATTTTATAAACATGCTATATCCAGGCATTAAAAACAAAATATTCTCTTCTTTTCCTCGTTTAAGCTGTAGTGTTACAGTGGCAGTAAATGGAAGAGAGCATATGGTTGAGCTTATAGCACAGTATAAAGGAGAAACCCATACTGTCCATACTAAATAAAGTGTTAGAACTAGTATGAACATTTTGAGAACATAAATTACTGAAAAAATACTATACTAGATTCTCCACATTCCTGAAGTATTTGACAGAGAGAAAAGGAAGCAGCTGAGCCTATTCTTCCCAACCCCCTGCATCATTTTTGTCTAAATGTCATTATTAATTTATAAAACAAACTTTTATTTCAATTCTAATAAACAAATTTCTGCCATAGCTTAAGTGTCCTATGGACTAAGGTTTCTTCCCTAGAAATCAACCAGATATATTCACATTTATTCCTGTTTAAAACAGAAATTTTCTTTTAGCAAAGGGAAGGTAGTGTGGAATTCTACCATGTAAACACCACTATCTGGTTTTCAAGCAAGATTAAACTTCCACAGATAAAGTTCCTGACACTTCAGAGTTAGAGCTCATCACAACTTAAACCCAAGGGTAAAGGCAATGCTGCTCTAAATACTGATCTTTCCATCCCAGAAAACTAATGTGTTGCTGTACAGAGAAGGCATTCACTTAGTACATTCTACACTAACAGAGCCTTTTTTTCAATTAGAACAAGTGATTACAAACCCACTGCATATATACACTCCTTAATACAGCCTAATTTACAACAAAGACCACTGCAAAATTGCCAAATATCAACTATGTGGAAACCAGATAGGCTCTTAACTGTGACCCAGAGATGCTTCTTTTACCTGAATAATTTCACCTTATGTTGATTGCACTTATGCTGACTGCAAATCTCTTCCTCTTTCAGTGCAGATCTTACATGACAGCAGCAGTTTGCCAAGACATGATCTGCTGATCTCAGACTACATCCCTATTCTTCAAGTCTTTCTGTCACAGGAGAAATTCCTTCTTCAATACTTCTATATACAAAGAGAGACTAAATATTTTCAAATATTGAATTAGCACTTTAAAAAAGTGAAAGCATGTTAAATCTTATTAATGTTCAAAGAGTTTAAATTAAAAATCAATAGTCAAAAGAAAAATGTCAGCAGCATAATTGTTTAAAAGCTCTAGCTGCCTTTTCCTCACATTGCTATAATCCAAAATCTAAGTGTAGAACTAATTTTGGCCATATTCTTAATGAGTTTTGTAAGGCAAAATTTTCAAAGATCACTGATTAACAGACATTTATATCCTAGTCCATGTTTCAGAGCCTGCATCAAATGTAGATCAAAGACAATCTAATTACACAAAAGACTTATTGCTAATAAAATCTGTTTAACCCAGATTACCACCCATCTTATTCATGCACCACAGGAATCTACAGTGCAAGAGAAAATTTTCACTAAAATCTACTGCTGCAAATGCCAAGTTGTTACTTCATCACAAAAATATTAAGAGACAGAAAAGGTGCTATTGAAACGCTTAAAAACATTGACCCTTTTCATTTGAGAGATAAAAACACATTTTCTGGCGGACAGGTAACATTTTCAAATTACCAAGTCTGAAACATTAGGTCTTTTAATTAAGGTGCTGTATTAAGTGCAAGAGGATGGGATAAAACACTAATAAAATAAAATAAACTGATCTGCCTGAACTGAACAGTTGCATTCTGCAGAATGAAACTGCAACATTCTGCAACTGAAACAGATCAAGTAAGCAGTCAGCACAAACTCACCTTGGTATTTAGATTTTTTTCCTCAGTATTGTATCTTCAGCATTTGCACTTTCCCATCCTCTGTCAGGGTATTCTGACTGATGTCCATCCAATAAACTGCTACAAAGTTTAAGCCTAAAAATAAATAAAAAAAAAAAACAAAGCAAAGACTAAGTGGCATTATTATGGTAACTGCTGAACACTAAATACAGCTACAATCCATTTACATTAAAATAGACTATAACATGAAAACATAGAGACAGAATTTCACCACACAACATATAAATATTGATCAACATATCCCTAAGAAAAATAGTAAAAAACAGCAAAAGAAAAATTAAAATCATGTGTTTATAATAAATGCTTGGATTGAATTACAGTAAGAAAGCAACTAAACTACTAAAATAATAGGCAAAAATACCCCTGAAACCCCAGCTGATGAGTTGCCTTTGATACCTCTCCAGCCTGAAATTTGCATCTCTGCAAGTCTTGCTGTCAGGCAGAAGGAAGCTCGGTTTCTTCTGTTTAGGATTGTTCCATACTGAAGAACAACTGGCTGGAATCAAGTCACTGCATAAAAATGAACAATTATCATTGCTGTCACTACAAAACAACTTAATCTTTAGGGAGACAGAGAGGAAACTTCCAGCTCTTAGGCTGAGGAAGTGAGAGGCAAACTTTCAATTCTTTCCACAAGACAGAGTTCGAAAGGGGACATTATTTTCCAGCACTACCTGGGACGGCAGAGGCAGCAGAAATTAAAAGATGGAGAGTCAGACTGGAAAAAGCCAAGTAAAATCAAAGAACAGAAATAACAACCAAACATACCACGTGCTGGAGGAAAGGTAAAAAAGGAGGGAAAAAAAAAAGTAGTGAACAGTGAAGGAAAAGATGAAAAAATAAAGGAAAGGATGCCTTTACAGCATAAGCAACAAATAGAAAAAACAACATAATCACTGGGGTATTTACCTGGCTATTTCTATACTTTGTTGCATTGTCATTACTTCATCTTTTTCACCAAAGGCTTCCCACTCTGAGCACTTGGAAAAAGCATCCTGATGTCCTGAGGTAGTAAGGCTGGAAAGAAAATGAAAATGTCTGAATCCATGCACTGTGGTAACACAGTTCCTCTTAATTTTTCAGAAGGGGGCTAAGCAGAGAGAAGAAACCATACCTGCAGGAACATTTTCACTAAGGTTAGTGTGAAATGTCCACTAAACTGCCCAAATCCTTAGTGTTGCCTAAATCTACACACAAAACACAACCTGTGCTGTGTCTACTGACACTTTGCAACGGAGCATGTAAATGTCTGCTATCACACAGCACAATTATTCTGACATGATCTCCCTTCCTCATTACACTGCACACATTTAGACACAATTAAAGCTATTAACAACGGGAGGGGGAAATACCAGCCATGTTCCAAAAGTCAGTTCGTGGTATCAATGACTTCCCACATGGAGAATCATTTCATACCTTTCCAGAGTGTGGTACATCTGCAGATAATGGTTTTTGCTCTCTGAAACCACAGAGGAGTCAGAATTGTTTCTTCTTCTGCGTTTCCATACTGGAGAAGAATTGGGAGAACAGGAACTACAAAAACAGATTTTACACACATAACACTTTTGATCTATGTTTAGATGTTTATCACTGTTCTGCTAAGTAACAGCATATGCTGCTGAGGAAGTTTTCTTTTGAGGTAGGATTCCTCAGTCACACAGAGGAACACTGAGCACATCTCTCACAGTTTGGAAGCAAAACCATTTTGAGCTTCACACACATCCCCCCAGGACAAGATATTTCAGTAAACAGGGAAGTGCATGTCACAGTCATCCTCCCTGCTGTGCTGCAGAAAGGCGCAACTGTATGAAGGATGGGGATTCCTGCTCCTGAAAAAGCTCCTCTACTTTTAGAACATTGCAGCAATGGTTAAAGAAACCTCAGTACCCTGCTGTATAAACTGAGAAGCTGAAAAAACACTGCATTTCCTCCTGTTAAATCATGTAATTCAGCAATGCTGGTAAATTTTCCATATTTATTGCTCTGTACCTCTGATGGATTACATTCAACAGTAAAAGTGTCAAACCCCAAAGCTGAGTATTAACTGCCCTTCCACACTAAACATTTCCCACAGAAACCTGACAGCACTGACCTGTACAGAATTATTTCCCTAAGTTAAGCCCAGAAGTTTGCTCTCATACCTCTCAGGTGTGTGGGAAGTCTGTGTGCATTCGTCTTCACATTCATCACTCGCCTGCTTTTCCTCAAACAGAAAAGAGCCTGGAACATCCTCATCTTTGCAGAACCATTCCTGGGAACTACCTGCAGGTTCTGTATTGCTAAACACAACAGAAATTAAAAAAAAAAGCTTTAAAAACCTATCCATCTGGTTCACTGCTCCAAACAGAAAACAATTTAGCTGCAGTAAGAAGTTACACTTAATCCCTTATGACACCCAAATGGCATAAAAACCGCAACTTCTACCACAGGTCAATTCTACACAGGTAAAACTATTTACACAGTGCAGTAACACAGGCAAGAGAATTCCATTCACTCTTCCCCACCCAATACACTAGTCCAAATCTTGTAATTAATGGAGTTAAGTAGCAGAACCAGCCTTGTTACAGAAGTTCAAACATCTGAAAAGATAAAAATATTTCCTTCTTGAACACAGCCGCCACCATCCTGCAGAGAGCAGAGAAATCCTCCTCTCAACTACTTAAACATCTCAAATCCTCTCACATATTGTCAGTGTAGGAGATATGTGGTTCCATTGACTTCAGGAAAAGGAATGATGGAAAGTTATCAAAGTCAAGGAACAGTAATTGCCAAGTCTCTGATCGTGTCTCTTGCTCTCCAGAAACGTTACAGTACCTTGTGCCCAGCAGTGTAAATACAAAGGGGAAGGGAATGTGCTACTGCAGGCAGAGCAAACCTGACGGCAGATTAACTCAGACTAAACAACTGCAATATCTAGAAGACTAACAGAATTCTAATGGAAAACAAAGCATTCAAGCAGACTCCCATTGTTGAGTCTGATGGTTTTTCTCCCAGTCAGGAATGCTCTAAAGGAACCACAGAGCCCACCTCACATTCCTTAAGCCCTGACTTGATTCACCCACAGAACATACATGGGCTGCAGATCCCAGGTCTCCTCAGCAGGAGGATCCCAGGCATGCAGTGCTATCTTCCACAGCTTGATCTGCCGGTCCCAGGACCTGCGGCTGTACTTCTTGAATTTGTTGGGAGTTGTAGGGTGAACCCCTGGAAGTCGCTGGCTCCTGCAAACACACAGTGACGTTTGTTATTTCAGAGCAGAAGGAGGGCTTTCCTTCAAAAGAATCCTTAGTCCATCAGCTCACACAAGCATCACTGGTCTAATAAATAAAATGTTTGTTTTTTAAACACTTCACTGAAATGTTTATATTATAAGACGTTACCAAAAATAAATCCCAAAACCAACAACAAACCATAATGTGCTGAGTCAGACTGGAGGCTCATCCAGCCCAGCACTCTGACAGCTGCCAGAAGCAGAGCCCCACTGCCCATGAACAAAGATGAAACAGAAGCATAACTCATATTGCTTCATTATTATCCTAACCTCCAGCTCCTCCTGCTTTACTTTTCCTGAGTCAAGTGCAGCTTCTTTTATTGAGTATTGTACTCAGTCTCTCACGGATGGAGTTACCTTCCTCCACAGCAGCCCCGCTAGTGCTGTGTTTTGCATTAATCACTAAAACAGTGCTGATAAACGCACTGAGTTTTGGGCATGACTGAACAGGGCTTGCACAGCTTCAAGGCCTTCTCCTCTCCCCACCCCGCAGACACTCAGGTGAGGGTGAACACTAAGTTGAGAGGGAAAAGTGCTGGGACAGCTGACTCAAATTACCCAGAGATATCACACACCATATAATGTCACACTCAGCAGTAAAAAAAACCAGGAAGAATTTCAAGAGAACTAAGGCTGTGAGCCATTCTACACACACAAACACCCACCAGGAACCACTAAGGGTTCATCTGGAAAGGAACAACACTGGGCAACTTACTTTGGAACTTCTTTAATGTATCTGTCATATGCCAGGGTATTCTTGCCAAAATTGATCTGCTTTTGTCTTCTCCTCAGGACCACCTCATCAGTTTCCCTTTCTGCTGGATTGGCAGAGTTGCTTGAAACAGAATATCAAAACAAAAATAAAAATTAAGTTGAAAAGATCTTTAATAGCATTATAGGAAGTTACATAAGCACATACTCATAACTGCCCTGTATTCCTAATGACAGACAGTGAGCACAACCCTTACCTCACAGAACCCCTTACTAGCTCCCAGAAGTGAAAGCTGTGCTAATAAAATCTGAATCTCAAATAATCACAGAAGCAGCTTTGGAGCTAAAACCTCTCAGTGCTACTCCCTCCCTAAGGCTTCCTTCAGGCTTGATATGAAACAGCCTGTCTGTGGTTTCAGATGTTCATCAATGCATGTGAACGAGTCAAAGATCATCAGATGGCTTTTGCTAAAACCAGTGTAACAACAAGCAGCAAGAGCTCAATACCTACTTGGTAATTTTTTTATTTGATGGCCTCATTGTTTTGCCTTCTTCAGGTCTACCTTCCCAGCTGGGGCAACTGGAATGTGGCCTAGAAGGTTCTGATGTGGTAGAGCTAGAAAATAATAGGAATTCAACATGAATGTTTGCTGCTTGTAACACATTCAATCAACAGAAACATCAATAATGGACAAAACCAGCTTCACAACTGTAAAACCACGGGCATGTTTCTCCCCTATTTCAGTTCTAAGGTGACCTTCAGTCTGGCCTCTTCTGTCAATTTTAAGGCCTCAACATTTAACAAGTCATGTAAGTAATACAGAAGCAGATTTAGCTGACAGTCTTACTTTCCCTAAATGGTTTCACATCAACAGATGAAATTACCATGCAAGCTCACAATGTCATTTCAACACAGGACAAAGATTCCACACTGAAAAGGAACAGATCCACTCAGCAAAAGAGAAACACAAAACACTGCTGGCACAGCCACTTCAGGCTCACACTCTCAGTGTTTTTTATGAGCACATCAAAGACACAGAACACACTCCTGAATACAAGGCCTTTCCTAATCTCTTCAAAACATTCATTCCTTAACAAAGCAATATTAAACATGCCATCCAAAATTAAAATCACCTTCATACAGTGGAATACTCAGAAATGTATGAATTACATAAAAAATATTTTCATGTACCCTTAGTAAAGTATTTCCTCTTATAATGTGTTCAGTTTACTGCACATATCTCAGCACTCACCACTTTGCACCCCTGCTATCACACAATAAGATACCAGTCCCAACCATTTCCTCCACCTTGAGTCTTTAGTCTAGAATATCCAAAAGCCAAGCAAAATATTCATAGAATTACCTAAGTATAGAGTTCTATCTCATCTCAAAATGTCCTCAGGAATGGACTACAGGAAAAAAAAACAAACATGCTAACTAAAAACTGCAGTACAGCTCAATATACCAAGTGGACTGTGAAGAGACAAAGATGGTTGCCCACATTTACACAGAAAGATGCATGAGCAAAGTGTAAGAATAACAGCAAATGCCTTCATTGGGAGTTTTATACTAATATTGAAGACTTCAGCAATAAAGGGCTTAAACTACTGCTTCAGCTCAGAGCCCTTCTCCCTTTCACTCTGAACACTTGCTAATACTGTGGCATGTATTTCCATGAGACACACTGGATGTTCTGCTTTAGGCATGATGCAGGTATCATCTCCTAACTCTGTGGCACTCCATTACAAGAGAACACTCAACCTAAACATGTCCATGCTTTTCTTGGAGTCCTAAAAAAAGTGCAGCAAAGTGGAGATTTAAAATAATTTACAATTATTTCTTACCTCTCCAGCCAGAGGTCTGAATGGCCACATTGATATTCCTCCAACACCAGAGAATCTGAATCATTGCAGCTTCTATGTTCCTGCTCTTGATGCCAGCAGTGTGGATGTTGCACAGAACTAGAAAAGAAGAATTTTCATCTGAAATCAAGTCACTGGTAGCCACTGAACATGGCCTATAAACATCAAAGATGAACAATTTGATTTGGCATACAAATACGTGATTCATATCCACTTACTCAGGCAACAAAGTACTTAACAATACTTAACAAAGGTGTTGGTGCAACTGCTCAGAAAATATCTTGGACTAATGCAATTAAGACCTCAAAATTTTCAAAGAAACACTTCATATTTTGATAACAGAAAATAGACCAAACAAATTGGTGGGGAAGAAAAAACTAATTGAGGACTGCAACCAGCATTAATAGACTTGTGGACATGTCCACCCTCTGTCAGCGGTGGATTATTTGATATTTATTTACTGTTTCATCCAGTAGTAAACTCCCAGAAAAGGCAAGTCCAGAAACTACATTTTAATATAACGGCTACGGAGAAGCAGGTCAAATGTCTATGTGGAAACACTTTTGCACAGGAAATTCTGGAGCCTTCACAAGGAAGCCTGGGACAGGGAGCTGCCTGTGGTGCTCACAGCACACTGGCAGGTCAGCCAGGGATTGCTTAAGGCTTGAGCACTCTACATTCTCCTCCTTGGTTCTGGAAGCTTTGACACCTTAAATGACAGCTTACTGAACAAAACACAACCGTAGCATCTCCCAACACCAGAGCTGGCTTCTGGGCTAAGGAGGGCAGCTGCACATCCACCCCACATCTGCCCGAGAGAAGGACCTGGCACGGCAGCTTCTGTTCCATGATTTGTATGTGTGACTAACAGCAAACACACTGTACGGGCCAGGTCTCTGCCCTTAGCTCAGCAAGGGAGATTAAAGGATTTTTGATGTTTTACTCCTTTGTTAACCACCCATGTTTTCTCTCCCGTCCTCCTCCACCCTGCCTGGCTTTGGGAGTTTCCTGCTCCCCAGAGGGCTCAAGTTACCAGCACCACCCAGCGCAAACAGCACAAACAGCTTCCCCAGAATCACAAACCAGGCAAATGGTCCCCTTTCCAACCCGCTCCGTTTTCGCCAAGGCAATAAACGATTACAATCCTTCCCTAACCACCTTAAACAACTACTCGCTGTAACGACTTCAAGAAAACAATTTTTAAACCAGCTTAGGTACACTACAACACATGCCGTAAGTACGACACTGTTTGTAAGGGAAAATGATGACCGAAAATTATGTCTTTTAGAAACATTCCCGTATTTGCTTTGCACTGCCCGGCCACTCCAGCCTGACACCAACCCCAGCGCTCCCAGGCGGGCTGGGGTGTCTCGCCGAGCCCACACGCCCTGCCCGGGGCTGCTGGTCCCTCACTCGCCACCGACACGAAGGAGCCCCCGCACGGGGGGCGAGGCCGCAGGAGAAGGGGCCGTGTGCCGGAGGAGCAGGGGCTGCACACCGGCACTGCCTCCGGAGCCGCCCCGGACGGGCAGCGCCGCACCCCCGCCCGCCCAGCGCTGCCCGCCCCGCTCCCGTTCCCGTTCCCCCGCGGCCGCTCCCACCTGCGCAGCCCGCCCGGCTCCGCTGCTCCCGGGCGGCGCGGGCGGCCGGACATGGCTGGGGCGGGCGGCGGTCCGGCCCGGCCCAGCCCAGCCCAACACTGCCCCGGCCCGGCCCCGGTCCAGCCCGGCCCAGCCCAACACGGCCCCGGCCCGGCCCGGCTGCAGCGGCAGCGCAGGCGCGGCCCGTCCTCCCGCGGGGAGCGCAGGCGCGGCCAGGATAGCCCAGGACGGCGATGGTGCTGAGGGGGCGCTGCTCGGTCCGGAGGAGAGAAAAGCGACCTGCGTCCCTGTGAGGGCCCGGGCGCAGCTTCCCTCACACCAGGGACAGCATTGCCCTCACACCCTCTCCCTCCCTCTGGCTGCATCCCCGGCCCACTCCGCCCGCAAGTGCCTGGAAAACCCACATCTCGGCGTTACCTCACGCAATAGCGAAGGGTTCGTCTTGGGACAAATAATTTTTCTCCTAGACGTCGTGAGGGCTTGGTGGCCATCACAGTGTACACGCTACAGGAATGTGTCCCACATTTCATACCATTAATGGAATCATAGAACAGTTTGGCTTGAAAAGGACCCTAAAGATAACTTGCTCGAATATTTATATCTCAATTCCCTAAATAGCTCAAAGTCAACAAACATTTAAGAAAAGCACTCTGAACTTTAGTCTTACTGAGGTTATCCTGACTGGATGGTACTTAGCTGCAGGCTAGCTAGTTTCACAAAATCACAGAATGGTTTGGGTTGGAAGGGACACCGAAGACCATCTCCTTATAACTCCCTGTGATGGGCAGGGACACCTTCCCCCAGAGCAGGATGCTCAGAGCCCCATCCAGCCTGGCCATGAACAGGATCCCTTCCAGGGATGGGGCAGCCACAGCTTCTCTGGTCACCTCTGCCAGTGCCTCCCCTCTCTCACAGTAAAGAATTTCTTCCCCTGTGTCTAATCTGAACCTAATACCTTTCAGTTTTAAACCCATTCCCTCTTGTCCTATCTTGCCATGGCCTTGTCAAAGTCCCTCTCCAGCCCTCTTGGAGACCCTTTATGTAGTGGAAGGTGCTCCAAGGTCTCCCTGGAGCTTTCTCTTCTCCAGGCTTGGTGAAGAGAATGCAGCAGGCTGAATGCCTCCTGCTCTCAGCCTGTCTCTATAGCAGAGGTGCTCCAGCCCTCTGAACATCTTCATGGTTCTCCTCTGGATACACTCCAATAGGTCCACTACTACAGGAATGTGATACAGGAATGTAATAGATTCTTTATTGCTGGTGCTTGGTAATAAATCTGAGCAAGGTCATGATTAAGTAAATGTTTTATATAGGACACACCATTGCTACAATGCCAGTGCTTCCTTGAAAAGACAAATTTTTAGTCACTGCCCCTGCTGATTTCATGACATCCAGTGTCACCCCTTCCCATCTGGTACTTGTGAGAAGTATTTGGAGGCTTTTTTTCCCCTGAGGTTCTTATAGAGATTTCATACACACCTTCTTCCATTTATGCAACCCTCTGCATTCAGGCTATAGTAGGAAAATCCATCCAAGGAGGACTTACCATGAACACCTTCAGGAGAATTTAAGCCCTATTTGTATCTACTCCCATGCTCTCAGGTAAGACACTGCATACAGATAAGCCAGACTGATTTCCACTCATATAAAGTTTTACCTGGTAAACATAACTTTAAAATTAAAACCAGAAGTCTTACAAAGAACTGACTGTATTTTTATTGAGCTCTTCAGAGCGTTTTAAGATTAACTGCATGTATTCATTAAGCCTTTTCCCTAAGGGCTATCCAAACAATACTGTTCATTTTAAACAGGCAAGCTATCAAGCAAAAAAACCCCACCAACCTCAAAAACCACAAATGAGAAATCCTGCAGGATGCCTTTGGAAGAAAATGTCTTGTAATCCTTTTAAGAGCTTGAGTATTTATATCTCAGATCCTTAAACAGCTCAAAGTCCACAAACATTTAAAATTTAAAATTTTAAAAATGGCACTGACAACCTCAGTCTTACTGAGGTTTGTCCTGAAGGGAATGGTGCTTAGCTGCAGTCTAGCAAGTTTTATATTATCAGAGAAAGGTCTGAGTTGGAAGGGACCTTAAAGAAATGGCCTTGTGGCTCTTTGGATGAAGCTATCACACTAACAAATGCCTATTTTTGTACTCTATTATTTTCATGTTCATATGGAATTTTAACAAGTTGTTTCTTTAACACAGCTTTTAAGAAGCTCACAAATGTCAGATCCATGTCAGATTACTCTGAGAACTTGGAGAAAATGACTTGTTTTAAGGAATATAAGTCAGGTATTATCATTAACGTAAATCATAATTTTGTTTTGGTAATTATTACTAAGTTTTCTAAGAGGCACTTCTGTGCATTAAAAGATGCAAAGGTATAAAACATTTATGACTGTTACTCTGTTGTACTTTTATATTGAGGAAAGAGGTAGGATGAACAAAAGCAAAGTTCCACTGAAGTGAAAACTTCCAGTCAACTCAGAGTAGATTCCACTGCAGTAGCAATTAGGAATTTAAAGCTTTTATTACATGAGATATTATTGATAACTGACCTGGCTTTAGTCCCTAAAACCATCTGCAACTACCAGCATCTGAGATTCTCAAGGCCTTTTATGATTTTAGCCTCACATTCTTTACAATGAACATTTTTATTCTGAACAGGCAAAGTGCTGTAGGAACTGAATGGGGGGTGGCAAAACTACATCTCCAAAATCCTACCCTCTCTTCTGCAACAATTTCAAGGGCCAATCCCTTGTATCAGTGCCACATTATGTAAACTTTTCAGAAGCAAATGTTACAAAATGCTTATTTGTGAAGGCTGCTGTGTAGTGATAGGCGCATGTCAGACAACACCACCCTGCCCTGCAAGACCCTTCCAATGGTTAAAAAATCCTGCATGGACCACTTTAAATCTGGAAATAACTTTCCCACAGAAGTAATAAGAAAATATTTTAAATTCAATTGCTAATTGACTCCTAGATTTTTTATTAGTTTTCAGATTTACCAACAGATCTGTCTGAAACTCCAGAACTCAATTTAATTCTATTCAGATGAAGAGTGACATGCCACTGAAGATCTCTTTGGAAAAGACAGATAAATCCACACAACCTGTCTCAGTGTCAAATTTTCACTCTGTACATCCATACAATCCAAAACAGCAGGTAATGGAAAACAGAAGCCACTATTATTAACAGGTAATTTACTTAATTGTATAGTAGATGTTGTATATAAAGCAACTGAGATATGCTGAAGCAATAAATGTTCTTTAGCTCAACCAGTTTGGATTTTTACAAATGAATATTATTTAAAAATCCCAAAGTTAAAATCCAACAATTAAATGTTAATTTTCAAGCAATGCTGCCAGATCTGTCTTCAACTCTTTACCCCTCTATGGATTCTTGCCTGCAGCCATTTCCAGGCTGGTTGCAAGTGCAGGTAGGTGCATTCACCACCTGTAGCTCAGCTGAGACTCATGAAATGTTTCATGGTTGTGATTCCAATACTTGTACCATTTTTACATCCTGCCACCTGTTCCTGCTCAAACCGGTAATCAAGAGGTTGTCAGGTAATCACTGGCATGCCACCTCTGCCCATGATTTACTGGTAAGATCCTTGTGATTATTCAGGTAAGAGGTATTAAGAGGTTTTATTCTTGTAGACCAAAGCTTTAAAGTATTCCTTTCTCTGTTTGACCGACCTGTGATATTAATTTACAAATTAAAGCTCAGATGTTTGCTGCACTCCCTTCAAATGTATGTAAAAAAAGTCCCATCACCTAAAGAACACTGAAACCCTAAGCAATGTAGCACCTGGAAACCAACAGATTTTAACCACGTATTAGCAGTGTAGGTAAATGGGTTGACAAATCCTTTCTGTTTGAAATAAAGTCATCCATCAAAAGGTATGCTAGAGGCAAATTAATGGAATAAAAGATCCATACAGAATTTGTAAATCTTCAGCAATTACATTTCTCAGCCTACTGCAACCCTTTGTGGTAGATGTAGTGGAAATACCTCCTTCCAGCTGAAGGAACACAACTGGTGCACTTGTTTGAAAAACAACTGCAAAGATTAATAATAATTTTACAACTGGATTAAAGAATAACAAAAGTAGCAATAAAGTCTAACCAAAGCAATTTTCTCAGTTAGCCCTTTATTAAAGAATCAAAACCCAAGTTAAATTTAAAAATATAAAGAATTTAACCTACGTTAAAACCTGAAAAAACAACAGTACTGCAAATATAGAAGGATAACCTTATTCCATCCAAAATGTAAGAAAGGAAAACAGGGGTTTAAAGAAAATTAAAATCCAGAAGCTGACATCATGTGAGTAAAATCCACAGATAAGGTAAAAGTGGAAAGGAACTGAAAAGATTTACATCTGTTTTCAACACTGTAAAAGAAACCTTTAGAGTTTGTACCCTGGTCAAACATGAAGTCTCAGAAACTGATCTAGCAGGCCTTAAACCAAAGCCACTATGAAACACAGTCAAATTAAAAAAGTTAAAACATACTCAGTTCACTACTCATCGTATTAGGCAAACATCTAGGATGCAAAATTTGGCTCGGCAAGTTGGGCAAGGCACTTGGCTGGACAGCCAGGTCTCGGGGTGCTGCTGGTCCTGCCTGCTGGCAAACCACTTGCCCATGCAGGTGAGGCACCACATGGGCCGGCAGTAGCACTGCTGGCATTCCCCCTCGTTGGGCTCCTGGCAGTTCTTGATGAGCTTGATGTTGGCAATAGTCTGCATACAGCCTATGCAGGGCTCCAGCTCCTGAGGGAGGAGAAACACCGTCAGAGTTGGGAACCGCACACAAAGGTTCCTGTTACTGCTTTTTCAAAGGCTTTTAGAAAATCATCTGTGGCAGGACTGCCCCATCTGAGAGTATCCAATGGTTTTACTAGAACACTCTCTAACAAATGACAGCAAAACTTTTCTCTGAGCAGAAAACCCAGAATTGCTGCATGACACTAATGATTAAGCGTAAATGACTGAAAAATAAATGTTCTTTCACTCTCTGAAGAGCTTCCAGCAGCCACAGCAAGGTAA